AGAGGAGACTTTTATTCTTTATTTCAGTTATCAAGCTTAACTGCTGTGCTATCATAAGCAAGAAATTGCCTGATGGTTTTCTTTTTAAAAGTAGAAAAATGTGTTCTATGATTCTTTCTAAACTTGCCTTCTTTCACTTGTTTCCAGCATTGCCAAAAGTAAAAATGTTATGGATCCTCCAAGCCACTTAAAAGTGTGTTCTGTTTTTTTATTATGGCTGTCAAGCAATTAAAAAAAATTAATCACGTTTAATCGCACTGTTAAACAATAATAGAATACAATTTATTTCAATAGTTTTGAATGTTTTCTACGTTTTCAAAAATATTGATTTCAATTACAACACAGAATACAAAGTGTACAGTGCTCCCTTTATATTTATTTTTGATTACAAGTATTTGCACTGTAAAGAAATAGTATTTTTCAAGTCACTTAATACAGGTACTGTAGTGCAATCTCTTTATCATGAAAGCTGAACTTACAAATGTAGAATTATGTTTAAAAAAAAAAAAACTGTATTCAAAAATAATGTAAATTTGTAGAGCCTGCAAGTCCACTCAGTCCTACTTCTTGTTCAGACAGTCACTCAGACAAACAAGTGTGTTCACATTTGCAGGAGAAAATGCTTGCCGATTCTTGTTTACAATGTCACCTGAAAGTGAGAACAGGTGTTTGCATGGCACTGTTGTAACTGGCATCGCAAGATATTTACGTGCCAGATGTGCTAAAGATTCATATGTCCCCTCATGCTTCAACCACCATTCCAGGGGACATGCTTCCATGTTGATGACCGGTTCTGCTTGATAACAATCCAAAGCAGTGTGGACCGACGCATGTTCATTTTCATTATCTGAGTCAGACGCCACCAGCAGAAGGTTGATTTTTCTTTTTTGGTGGTTCAGGTTCTGTAGTTTCCGCATCAGAGTGTTGCTTTTTTAAGACTTCTGAAAGCATGCTCCACACCTCATTCACCTCAGATTTTGGACGGCACTTCAGATTCTTAAACCTTGGGGTCAAGTGCTGTAGCTATCTTTAGAAATCTCACATTGGTATCTTCTTTGCATTTTGTGAAATCTGCAGTGAAAGTGTTCTTAAAATGAACAACATGTGCTGGGTCATCATCCGAGACTGCTATAACATGAAATACATGGTAGAATGTGGGGAAAACAGAGCAGGGAATGTACAATTGTCCCCCAGGCAGTTCAGTCACAAATTTAATTAACACATTATTTTTTTAATGAGCATCAGCATGGAAGCATATCATCTGGAATGGTGGCTGAAGCATGAAGGAGCATACAAATGTTTAGAATATCTGGCACGTTAATACCTTGCAATTCTGACTACAAAAGTGCCATGCAAATGCCTGTTCTCATTTTCTGGTGACATTGTAAATAACGAGGGCAGCATTATCTCCTGTACATGTAAACAAAATTGTTTGTCTTAGTGATTGGCTGAACATGAAGTAGCACTGAGTGGACTTGTAGGCTCTGAAGTTTTACATTGTTTTGTTTTTGAGTGCAGTTAAGTCATCAAAAAAAGTCTACGTTTGTAAGTTGCACTTTCAGGACAAAGAGCTTGCACTACAGATTGTATGAGGTGAATTGAAAAATACTATTTCTTTTATCATTTTTACAGTGCAAATATTTTATTTCAATTACAACACAATACAGTATATATGAGAATGTAGAAAAAAACATCAGACTATTTAATACATTTTAATTGGTATTCTATTGTTTAATAGTGTGATTAAAACTGTGATTAATCACGATGAATTTTTCTGAGTTAATCGTAGTTAACTCACACGATTAATTGACAGCCCTATTTTTATATCTGTTGTTTGCCTTAAATGTTTGCTTTCTTTATTATGCTAAAATCTTAGTTTGCTCATCATTCTCAATTTCTGCTGACATTGCATGAAAGAGAAACCCAGTCTGCTATTCCCCTTCTTGCCACATCCATCTTTGCTCCTCAAACTAGTCTAGCTAATTCTTTCACTGTTGTGGGGAAATCACTAGTTCTCTCAGGGTAAGATCATCTTGAGACTGTTTAACCTCACTTTTCTGAAGCATAAATAATAACATAAGACAAATTGATGTATTTCTCGTATAAGACAACTTTATCCAACTTCAGAACTTTCCCACCACCCTAAAATAGTAAACAATTCATCTAAAGTAATTAAAAAGTATACTTTTGGGAAATAGAACAGGACTGGAAATGCTATTTTAATGGTACTAAATGCTGAACAATTTGAAAGTATACTTATGAATGTTATACAGAAAAGATCAAGATGGGCAATTTGAATGCAGAGTCTAATGTAGTTCAATAAATGTGTGTCAATAAAAATGCAAAGTGGCGACTCTAAAATCTGTTCAAAGGTGTGTCCCAGGACATGGATTTAACTTGTACAGTGTAGCATAAAGCTGCAGCAGTACCTCAGTTTTCAATACTGACTGAAATTCAAGCAGAGAAGACCCCTGATTCCAGGGCAGTAGACGCCTCAATGCGAACGTAAGCAATTTTGAATGAAAAATAACATGAAAACAACTAATTGTCACTAAACAGAGCCCCAAATTTCCGTCTTGAAAAAAATATCTGGTGAATGTCTGTACATCTGGGTATAGTGCATAGATTATCCACAAATACAAAGTTTGTTTTTAAATCATAAGATACATATAGCGCATAACCAGCAATAACCCAAATTTAGGTGAGTAAATTTAAAAATACAGTTTAGATATTAGCAACCAAGTATTCGGATACATCACTCATGAAAAGTTATACAGAGAGTTGGTTGTGGAAAGCACATATATTAATGAGTGAAGATTGTCCCTCAGTAATAGAGAATTTAGGGTAGGTTGTCCTTTTGGAAAATACAATCCATGAGGAGAGTATTTCAGTTATTTTCCCCACTGTGCTTCTCATCAGCACTCTAGCTCATCCTTCCTGGTATTGCAGATGTCTGGTGATGTGTTCTGTGTAGATGTCCCTTGACCATCTGATGGTGTCCGACACCATGAGTTGCCGCATCTGCCATGCGTAGCGTTGACCGATTCTGCATTCCTGCAACACTTACTCGTTACTGGGTTCCCATGCGCCCAGGGCTCCGTTGATCAGCGCATGTGTCTGAGCCTGGTAACCCTTAGCTCTCAAGGTGTCAGCCAGAGGGGCATATTTCTCTACCTTTTGAGCTGACCCTTCCTAGTCCAAGTTGGATCCTGACTAACAGGGGGTAGAAACAGTATTTGGCAGCTCTGCAGTTTTCAGTATTCTCATTACAGTAGGTCTACAGAATGGTATAGTCTTGTTCCATTATTCTGAATTCACACTTCCCACCTACACAGCTATGGGGGAGTGGGGTAAGAACAGGGCCAAACTGCAGATGGAGTAGTAGTTCTGGTCCCCTGCTGGGCTTTAGCAAGGGGGGCCTCATTAGAGCTCCCTCTTGCTGTTCTTCTGGAGTTGTGGAAGAGGACCTAGAACATGCTGCAGGTACAGATATGGCTCTACCTCCCTGTTCCCTTAGTCCTTAAATTTAAGATTCAAAACTGACTTGAAGAACATTTCATGTCTTTTTTGATGACAAGTAGTTGGGGTCTCTAACATCTGTAATACACCTCTCCTGAAAAACTCTTAAATAGCCAGCTAAATGCTAATGTCATGTCAGCATGAGTTTAATTAAGGGCATATCTTCATTGAAAAGTTACCTTGTGATAACTGAAGTGTTCCCCTTAACTTGTTCACACACAACCTGACATTCAAGTGCAGTGGTGCTATTAACTTAAGTTGGCTGGCTCAAATGGGGATATAGGCTGAAGGGTGAGCGAGCGCAATTTGTCAGTTGCTAACTGGATGCTGGTTAGTGCCACTTGAGTGCTGCTGCTACTCTAATGCCTTATTTGTTTTTTCTGGAAAAACTTTACTGCTATCAATCTGTTCTAGTTCGGAAGCAGAGAAGTTACCAACCAGCTCATGCAGCCTGCTTTGGCATTCAAAACCCTACATTCACATGTGGGTGTGAATACCAGCAACTTCAATCCTTCAGCTTGGTACAGAGATCCATTTGATTCTGTTTGACAATGGGGACTAGGAAGACCTGTTAGCATGCTACCAACTGGCTGGAGCTGATAGCAAGGTTCAAGTTGCACTGATGTGGTTCAGGTCTTTCCTCTGAGTTGGATCTGTGCCTTGCCATCACACATTTATGCTTTGTGGAGGGTTTCTTTACTGAAACATACCTTCCATAGAACCATAAAATCTTGATTCTTTGCTGTTTAATTAGTGTGTTTTAGCTCTTCATGAAATTACTATATTTTTTTATTCTTAAAAATCCTTGTTGCACTGAAGTAGCAAATTTATATAGGTACAGTTGAATTACTTTTATTATAAGCCCTTGTTTCTAGACACTTAACTTTCTGAAAATATGCCTTGGGAATTAAATCTTTCATGCTTGCTCTTAGCCTAGAAGAACTTTTAGGCAACGTAGAGTGTCTGTGCTGTAAGATGTTTGAGTTCTTCCTCACACATCATTTTAAGTTGTTAACTTGCTATGAATGTTGCCATCAAGAGGAATGAATACATTGTTTGAGAAATAAATTATTGAAAACTTTGAGAACTTCTTACTATGTATGCAAGATCATTATTTTCCTTTCTTTTTAAAAAATTCTTCTTCCTTTCCTGATGCTCCAACCATCACCAGAATTACTTCTTATTCTGATACCATCACTTGTTCCTTACTCTTTCCACATTGTTTGAGCTTCTCCTCCCTGCCTTCCAGGGTATGCAGAGCTCTGCCCTGCCTACCTCTCTGCTATAATTTCATATTGCACACACATGCCTTATTTATCATCCTCCATCCTAACTGCTCCTTTCATTATATGCACCAATATGTTTTCTTCGTTGCTTCTCTTAGGAATGCAAGTCTAAATCTAGACAAATATATTATTGGCAAGAAACAGGTAGACTTGCTAAACTAAAATCATCTGAAACATTTTTCCTTTTTCTTTTAGTTCCTGGAATAGATGGCGGTGGTTTAGCTGATGCTAGTCTCACAGATTCCTACTTTAGTACCAGCTTCATTGGTGTTAATGGATTTGGAAGTCCTGCTGAAGCAAAATATCCCATGATGCAGGTAATGTTAGCAGTGAACTGTATCAATTTACACTAGCTCTGACAGCCACATTACATTGTTGTGCCAAGAACTGAAAACACTTAAGTGGCAGGAGCAACAGAAAACTAACTTGCCTTTCTACAACTGTTTTTGTACCTGTCAGAGTACATTAGGCTTTCCCATTTCATCTAACAGGGTGAAAATAGAACAACCTCGTTCATTCCTTCGTGTTGTAATTATTTTTATTAGCACTTTTGTTTCAGGATGAAATGTCTATTCCTTTTGTTGATTTCACTTTATATTGTACCTTAAATCCTCTTGTGACTTGTGTTCAAAATATACTGCAATCTTAACTTTTACTGTCCAGGTTTCTTTTTAGGGCCCCCCTTATTTGTGTCTATCACATTTGAATTGGTCTGACTAACTTTTTTCAGCCTTTTTACTCAAAACTATAAAATATTTTATAATTGAAATACATTTTAATGTCCTTAAGCCCCTGAAACGGTGTGAACTGTTAAAGTAACAATGTACTAATATCATGACTTATATAAACTCTCAGGTGAACATCTATCATACTCTATCTATGTGGCATTGCCCAAAGAATATAAACTAATTAAGTGACCTCCATTTGCTATGTAATTTTTTGGAATAGATTTTATTTTATAGCAAATATAGGTGTCCATTATATGTTAACATATACAATATAACAGTCATACAATACAGTCTGTTGGAAAGGGCTGCTCATCTTACTTCAAAGCATAAATATTTGGATCTGCTAGTAAATGCAGTAATAATCTCATAATAAAATAAAGCGCTCTAACCCCCAATCCATCCTCTCTTTAAAAACCTGAGGGAGGATGGTCTGTCTATGTGCTTGGAAGGCTAATAAATCCAGATTTTGGGTGACCGGGAGTGGCGAGTGCTTTCTCACGGAGAAAGCCCTTACAGCAGCTTTTTCTTATTTTATATCAAGGAAACTCCAGCTCATAAGGCTCCTTTTGAGGTCAGGTATGGTGCATATAATAATAACAGGCAAAGAGTGGGAAAGAATTAGGTGTTCCCTTTCCGACTTCTTTTTCATGTATGGTATGAAAAAGGCTATATCGCTTATTTTAAATGGGGTTGGAGGATGCATAACTTGCTGTGTAGAATTTTTTTTATATTGGCAGCCATGCAGGAGATGAAAATTGCCCATCTTGACCTCGTATCTCAAGGTGAGTTGGCAGGGTTGGAAATTAGAAAATCATTTTCCTATACTCTGAAGAAATTTGAGCTAGATAGCACTGAGTTAAACATGGAACTATGCAACATAAGCACGAAATTTTGCGTTTTTTGGACTCTGATATTTAACAGCAACATTTTCCTTGTAGAATACACAATCTTTATTATAATTTCATACTTCTTTCAGAAGCACATCATGCACTTAACCTGGGTGCCCAAGCAAATGCTGAGTATTTGGTAATGTTGCTAAGGTTGTAATTAAGGTTTTGTGGGTTACTTTGTGAAAAATTAATGTGTTTGTTTTCTTATCTGTTGGAGTAGGAAGAAAGTTCCTTGTGAAGATGGGGAGTCTCGTTGCTGAAAATATGATCTGTGGACATTAAGCTTACTGTTAAGAAGTGTCCTATAAGTTGATATTTTCTTGGTTTTAGGGTTTGCATTGGAAGATGTTGCACTTAATCAATAAACTGAAGTTTTTGTCTGTAAAGTATCTCTCTGGAATGAACACAAATGCACAAGAATTATAGGGGGAGCTACCAGCCCCACCTATTAAGGTTGCTGGACACATCTCATTATAAGAGTGCATTTTCAGTTGCTTATAACTTTTCCAAATTTTAACTATTTGGGCTGCAATTTTCCATGCTGATTGTCTGCCTCAGGATGATTTCTCTTTTAAAAAGGTTGCCGAAAAAAATTCATCTGTTTCCAAGAACAAGGGTACGGATATATTCTTGCAACCTTTTCTTTTAACAACTTTACTGCCCCTGCGCTTTGGAGCAGGGATTTGAAATTTGGTAGGCTGGTGGCCATTGTGTCAAGGATGTATCTCTTGCTGTCCCTGTGAAAATCTGCCCAAATTTGAGCAAGTTGTAAGACTCTGAAAATCGCAGTTTGCACATGCTCAGTATAGACTTTTTAGATTTTAGTAGTTAAATTTCCTGAAGATTCCATCCACACTGGGCATGCTCTGGCCCAGTGCAGTGTGGGGCTTTCCCTGTATTTGCTGCTCTGGGCTGCTGCACGCTGTGTTGGGTCCAGGTTGGGTACAAGAATTGAGAACTCTCTCCTGTGCTCTGAACCCCTGCTCTCTGCTGGGCCCAAGCAGCATGGAGGAGGAAGCTGCCTGATTTGTGTACGGAGGGCACGAGAGCTGGACATATGGGGTTAGACTGAGTAGATGGGACATGGAGACTGTGACTGGAGGCTGATAGGGGAAGGAGGAGCTAGGGAAACTGGGGGCAGGGCACGAAGGTGAGGCCGATCTGATGAGGAATTGGAGTATGGGAGGAGAACTGGGACTGGCTAGGCAAAGAGACTAGGACAACAGGATGATGATTGAGATTGGACAAGAAGCCTGGGGAGTGAGATTGGGAACATGGACTACGGCACCAGCGACTGGAAGCCAGGGGAACTGGGAATGGCTGGATAAGGTGACTAGGACTTGCTGGGCAAGGAGGTGGATGGAAAAGCCTGAGGAGAGGAGCAGGTTGAGGAAGAGACAGGCTTGGGAAAAGGACAGATCGCAGGGGATGGAGCAGAAGAGTCTGTGCTCACTAGAGCATGCTTTCCTCTAAACCTGGAATGGAACCCAAGACTACTAAATCTCACCATTCTTCTGCTGTCAGTGAATATCTGTGAAGCTCACTGGCAGTGTCTCAACCCTTTAGTGCTGGTGCACATAGAAGATGACTGCCTACTACTGCTGTCAGTCACTCTGTTAGCTCAAGGGGCAGAGGTCTGTGTGGTGTATCTGAAGGTTCCACCCCTTCCGGTGAGCCATGCGAGAGTGAGAATGATGAAACATGATGGAACTTTTTTCAGTTTACTTTTTTTAGTATGTAGGAAATTACTTTCTCACTCACACTCACAAATCTGTTAAAAGAACGTTATTAAGAGGGCAAAAGTCAAGCACTCACTGGTAAGGAAATACCAGAATTAAGGTTGCCTGTGCCTTAATTTAGTTCCCTTGTGCATATGCATTGTGATACTGTTTTTAATTACCTAGTCACAAGGTCCCGTCTCCTTCCATGTGCAGAATGGATGGCGCTCACTTAGTAAGCATCTGTTCAATATTTTGTTTACTCATTCATGTTCAGTGTGTGGCCCCCAGGCCTTATTTACCACACACCAGTCAAACCTTGCTCTGAAAACAATCATTTGCTCATGGGCTTGTTTGTGGAGCTCATCACTGTAGCATCGGAGTGCTTCAGAAGTACTAATACATTTATTTGCACAACACTCCTGTGGGTATTGATCCCATTTTACAAGTGGCGAACTGAGACAGGAATGTCAAAAGGAGTCCACTAATTTTGAGTGCCCAATTTGAGAAACCTACTACTGGATTTTTCAGAGTACTTCGCATTATATAGCACTTCATGTTCAAAGCACGCTTCCCACTGACTTCAGTTACAGCTGAGAGTGCTCAGCATTTCTGCAAATCAGACACCAGGGTCCCAAGTCAGAAAATGGAAACGCACATTTAGTGACCACCTTTGAGAAGTTTGGTTTAAATAACTTAACTACATTATATGGGAACTCTGTGGTAGAGGTAGTGATAGAAACCTATCCTCCATAGCAGCATTCAGTCTCCTTTACCATGAGACCATTCTTTCTTTTCCTGCTGTCTGCTGCCTCATTCATGACACACCTTTCATCTTTTGCAGCAACTGAAATGGTTACTACAGACAGCAGTCTCCTTCACTACACAGCCCTGATTCATCCCTACAGCTGGCCCATCCTGTACACTGAATGGGGCAGGGGTCTTGTGGAAAAACTAGTATGTGATCCTGTAATTAAAGACCCTATTGTAATGCATGCACCCTAGAGGGGCACATTAAGATTGTACAGGCAATCTAAATTCTTCTTTGAGTTCTTGCACACGTCCATTCCACGTAGGTATGCACATGCCAGCGCACTGAAGCCAGAGAACTTTTTCCCATAGCCGTATCCATTGAAGCAGTGCATGTGCCCTCTGCACACTTGTACTTGCCAAGGCTATGAAGGGTCAGAACAGCCCTGACACCCCTTCTCCCACTCCAGTTCCGTCTCATATCCTATGGTCGGTAGTCAGCGTGTGTGAGCTTCTCACCTTCTTTTTTCATTCTCTCTTTAGGAAAAAATTTTTAGAGGGTTTTTTTAATTGTAAATAGTTACTTTAGTATAGTTGTTTTAGCTTTAGTTAATGGTACTAATTTGCAAAAGATGACTTGATTTTTATCTTCTTGATCTTTGAGCTTTTCTGTATGGGGCCATGCCTAAATCCCTGTGGGTTAAGTGCTGTTGTGGCTGTAACAAATCTGTCAGTCAGAGAGCCTAACTCCTTCTGTTTAAGGTGTGTGGGAGAAGAACATGTGAGACATAACCCCTCTACAGAAAGGGCACTTAAGATCAGGACTGAGAAGTTGAGGGAAGTTCAGTGTTGAGAGATCCTGGTGGAAGCAGCTTTGTGCTCAGTTTTGGAACCCAGGTGCTCAGTATGCAGGAATTTGGACTGTACTCCATCTTGGAACATTCTGCCAGGCTTGGTGGCATCCCTGTGCTGAAGCGGTTCAGAGAGATGACCCTCTTCTCTGTCTCAGTATCATGTAAACAGCAGCAGAAGTCTAGCACTTTGACCTCTTCCAGCCAGAAAAACCTCTCAAAGATGAAGAGAGTTAAGTCCCTAACAGACTTTCACAAGAAGACCACTACCAAGGTTAGAGCTAAGCCAGGTCCCACTAGGAACTCGCCCATATCACATTCTGGCGACATAGAGTTGTCAACTCTGGCACCTCATGTGGTACCATCCAAGGTAGGCCTTG